CAGAACTCTACATGTGTTTCAAATTACACTACAACATTGTACAACAAAGAAATATGCAGAAATTTTCCACTTGAAATAAAGGTTAAAAATCAAATGCTAACAAAGGTCTAACAGATATGAAATCCAACCTCCTCATCTTAATTTGAAATTCAAAATGACTGAGCTGTCCTACACTAGGAAAAAAAAGGAATGAATCAATTCAGGTTGTTATAAAAGCACAGTGGGCTAAAACACGTTCGTTGCATGTACAGACTGCCACAGCACTCTGATTTTGCTTCAGTACTTACCCTCAACTCTTAAAATGACATTTTGCTTAGATTTAACTTTTAAATTATCAAAGTATATTACCTATCCTCATTAGATTACTGTTCACCACTGAATTTTATTTTTGCATCATATTTAAACAAAACACTAATTAACTGGAGTGCCCCTAACAATGTGGTTATACATAAAAACAAGTTGGTAGATCAAAGGGAAGTCACATTTTCCCTAAAGAAAAGCAAAGATTTTCAGAGTAAACTCAATTTTTTATATACATGTGTACATACTCGGGATGTATCTCTCCAGACAAAGTTAGGTAGGCAAACACAATTTTATTTTAAGCAGCCCAGGCTTGACTTGATTACAAGGTCTGCACAAAAGTTCTCTGTTAAGGCAGAGGATTTTTGAGTGGAGTGCAAACAGACATTTTTAATCTTACTTGTAAATTACCCTATTTTGTGAGAATGGCGAGAATAGGACTGGTGCCGTGTTAAGAGTACGACCCACTTTGGATTACAAGAGACTGTTTCTAAATTTTGAGACATGAAGTTCACACATCTTTACCCAAAATGTTAATCACATAAGCAGATTTTCGATTTATAGTCAGTTTTTAAGTAGCTGGTGTATGGCTCTTCCACAGCTGTAAATACTTGGTGTGAGAATCCTGTGTGGCCATTCCTGCTAGCTGTACAGACTTACAATTAGTGCCAAGAATGTCTTTACATTTTTCAGGACCTCAAACAAACATAATTTTGATCCTGAGGGTTTTTTTGTTTTTGTTTTTTTTTAAATCAAAACTACATAACAAACATACATTTTTAAAACAACAAACTAATTTCCATCCCCATCCTGTTTTGGTCTTTCACTACTTGGCATGTCAGAGTTTGTTATATTTTTCATTTCTTTTGTCTTGCAGTAAGAAAAATCCAGACCTCCAACCACACAAATTCAGTGTGCTCAGCTAAAACATTAGGGAAAAAAAAAAAAAAAAAAAAGGACTGGCCTTTTTTGCCCCTCTTAGAAAACCTCAAAGTAAAGTAATGGCAGTGAGTGCCCAAGCATCCAGGCGCTTGTGCTCTCCTTCTCAACCACACAGCTCCTCTCCCCGAAAGCCGTGGTAGGTCACACAGCCTTGCAAGGACTTTGGCAGTTCAACAGATTTGGACCAATTTGGACCAAAAGATGACACTACCCACTTTACCCAAACCACACCAACCCAACCGCTTCTGGTGATGGCAGAAGTGCCAGCAGGGCCTTTGATAAGATATAGCTCTCTAAACACGACTGCCGTCAGCAGGTTGCCTTCAACCCTACCCAGAAACCAACAATTTCCCAGTGCACGTCACCGGACACTTCAGTAATTTAGAGAAGTGCCCAAGTCACACAGACCCAGGACTACTAGTCACCACGGAGGGATAGGCAGCTGTAGAGCCTGCCTCCAGGACGGGTACGTTACCGTGATCCAAGACCCCACTTTTCTTCAAGGACAGCACCGCAGGTTTGGGAGATGCTCTCATACTACATATCTTCTCCCCTTCTTCAAGTCACGTTTCCATTTGACAGCCAAGACCGGCGTGAGCTGGTCTTCACAGCCTGAACACTCGAAGTGACCTTTACCACCCAGATCAAGCCATCACCAACCTGGCATGTTCGGTCTGTATTCATGGGACCATCAGCCACTGAGACTTCCTCGCAGTAACCCCACAGACATGTAGTCAAGGGAACCTCTATCAGAGGCTGGCTCTCAGAAAGCTTCACTCCCCCTGCCCTAAGGTTAAATACTGTCTACAAGTTAGTGTAATACATGTTGCTCTCAGAAAGCCATGTAATTCAGGATTATTGCCTATATTTCATTACTTCCAGAAAATCATCCTCCATTAAAAAAAATTGGGGGAGGGCTCCTGAAGGACACAAATCCCTACACATTATAACGATCATGTGTGTTGGTAAAAAAAATAATGAAAAAAAAAATCTATTTCTTCATTATTCTTAGACTTCCAACACAATAGCAAAAAATGCATTATAAGGATGTCAATGCTTTTCTGCACTACACAGAAAAAAAGAAAATTTACAGCCCCAAGAAAAACTGAAAACAAATTTATAAGAACAGTTTGAACATAAATTTCCTTTTTTGCAAAACATGCAAAACGCACACAGAAGAGCAGTGGGAGGATGCAGAATCAAGTTTATTGGACTGCATGCAAAGTTTTTTGTAAAGCCTAATAAGCAAGTAATACAAGTCATCTTAAAAAGCAATTTTTTAAAAATTATAAAAGATCCCTAATGAATGTTCTAAATGATCCCTTAAGGATTCACCCTTTTTCTTGCTCTTTGCTAGAAACCTTCTTGTCAGCTGTCTCCTTCATTACAGCAGTTTACTAAGAAAGAAAAGCGACACTGATGCTGAAACCTAAAGTGAGTCTTGCAGAAGGTAAGAGGTTAAGATGTGAATATTCAAAAAGCCCATTCTACTGTTTTGAAGATAATAAACTATATCTTTTAAAAAAAAGCCAGTAAACTATGCTACCAGAAGTGAATTCAAAGTCTCCAGGCTGGCAGTGTCTTTGCAATAATTCTGGCTCCAGAAACTCAGATGATAATAGCCTGCACATATGAGGGAGCTATTTAGCAGCAATAAATAGCCAGACTGCAAAATTATTAACAAGAATATGAAAAGAGGGAGAAACAAAAAACAAGAAAAATTCAATAATTTTGGATTTAACCTGTCCTTGTATGAATGCAAATGAAGAGGAAACTAAAAATATTTACAGGGGTGGATAATGTTGTGCCCAGCTCTTCTGCCTCACCCAGGCAGCTGTATGCAGCTGCCTGAAAAAACCCAAAGCAGGGACCCAGGCACATTAGTTAAGCATTCATCATCAACAGGAAATGCGCATGAGTTCATATAAACACAGAAACACAAATATATAAATGAATAGCCTTGCATGGTTTAAGGTATTTCAGACACCCCATGGAACAGGGTGAGAGTTGCACTGGCTGGGAACCCACAGCATATCGATGTATTTGTTTTGGAATTGCAAACAGCCTCAGGACTCAGAACTCCTCTCCTGGTGGGCACCACCGACCCACCCACGCACCTCCCCTTGCTCCCACAGCCACCCAGCACCCCTGCCGCTCTCAACTCTTCCAGCACCCCCAGAGCCAAGCCGAACAACCCTGGCTGTTGGTGCCCAGAGGAGTAAAGTGACACGCGTGTCAAAGCGTCTCCAAGAAAAGACTGCGAGTGTTGTTCGCAAACCCTGCTGCAAATACGCTCACGCAGCGATGCTGCAACGCAACTGCAGTGTTTAAAGGATTTTGTTTTGCAAAGCGTTGGGTTGCCTTTGAACCGGTGTCACAGGCAATCAGGTGGGATGGACACGGGTCGCACAGGGCTCCTGCTGGATCTGGACAGCAGCACTCACCTTACAGGGGCACAGGCAAAGGGACAGGACTGGGAATCCTCCCTGCACAAGTCATCTTTTTCTCCCCCCAAGCTTTTTCATTTGTGATGAGGCTTAGGGCTGAGAGGGCCTCAAAGTTCCCCTCGCCAGGGAGGTCCCTCACAGCTGTGCTCCATCCAAACAGGTGGTGAAGGCTGAGTCTGGCTCTGCCCAAGTTTAAACTGCTAATTAATATTTGGTCTCAGAAGCTTGATATCAGATAATAAAAGTTACAGGCATCAGGAGGACACAGAAACAATAAAAATGGAGACAACCTCAATTCCAGACAGCCTTAAATTTTCTGAAATGCCATTAGGTTGCTTATTTACTTTAAAAAGTCTATCTACCTCTATCATTTTCTCGATGAGATACAATTTCTCCTGTGCCAGTGAACTAGATGGGATTCCTGTTTGGATTTCAGTGGTCTCTGAAACTGCATACTAACATGTCTCAACTTTGTTCAGTACTTTGTGGCTTCAATTTTCTCAACTTGCACAGTCAAAAGTAAACTGTTATTTTTTTAAATTCTTTCTTGCCTTGCCAGTCTGCACATTCATCCTGCCACGTAGTTTTCCAGCCACTGTAAGCGATTGTGACCTTGAAAGTTAGGCCACGACGAGTTGGGTGACACTCACTATCCCAGTAGCTGTATGTTTTCAGGTGGCATTTCAGCTACAAACATTTCTCTAGAGAGCAAACACGTCACTCTTGGACTTCCCAGCCTCCATTACCCGGGCACAGCAGGCTCTCAAACTCCCTTCCAAACATGGCTGCACACCACGATGCCGCCAAGCTGCTGGACCAGCCCTGCATTATATTTTTTGACAAACTTAAGCTCTGTGCTTCATTTCTCACAAGCGCAGTTTGACTGTAGACAGCAGTCGACAAGTAAATCTACCCTTTTCCATGGCAAACAGCCCAACTTTAATATTTTTACTGGCTTACAGCTGGGTAAATTAAGCCCCAGATTTTTATTTATTTATTTTTTAATACCGTGCAACTGAAAATGAACAGCTACTTCACTGCGACTGCCAAGGACAACCTTAAAAACACTAATGCAATCCAGTCCAGCTCTCAATAGATCTATAAAGGCTAGAGGACCAAAAATTTCAGCTTATCCACCCAAACAAAATGTTGGTTGGGCAGGAAGTCTAATATTTCGTTAAGATCCTTTAAAAAAAAAATTTAAAAAAAAAGAGAAAAAAACCCAAACCCTACATGCTGGCAAAGTGAAGATGGTAACAGTCCCAACTATAATGCCATGAAATGGGAATTAAAACTTGCCGTGTTACTTACCCCAGCCTTCCCAGCATTTCAAGCTCTGGAACTTGTGGTCCGTATGTCTCCACTTGCAGAGGCTGATACTCATACAAAGCTTCTTCTAGCTTTTGAATTGGAGCTAGTGAAATATGCTGACCCTATTTAAAAAAAAAAAAAAAACACAAACAAAACAATTCTACATAGCAGGTCAAGGTTTTGGGTTGACTTTTTTTTAATGCAATGCAAGAACAAGTTTATACCATTAAGCTGGTCCGGACAAAGACCATCCCATTAGGAACTTATTGTCTATTTTATCACTCATTTCTTCATGATTTAAATTTTTTACTGGGATCTACAGTTTGGAAGTAATGTTTCATTAGCTATAACTGTTTGGACAAGGTATGAAGGAAAGAGGAAAGTTTTACTGAAGGCAGGCTTATCGTTAGAGAGTGCAGCTGCTTCCAGTGTCACTAGTAAAATTATGATTAGGTAAAAATTTCGTTTATCAGAAGTAATATCAAACAAATGTCTCTGAGCAACCCTATTTGATTCTGTAATCAATTATTTCCTGAAAGCCCTAATTAGAAAGGGAAGCCGCTTTCATTTCTCTCTGCAGGCTTTGTAAGCTCCCATATATAATGGCTCTCAAGATAGACTTTTACAGCGCAATACAATTAATTCATTCAGCAAATTCCCATTTGTTTCATAACTAAAAATATAGAAACACACAAACATAAAACTTTCATTCCAGATGGTACTTTTGCAAGCCCTTCAGACCACTGAGAAACAGCTAGACATTCCCTCCCCAACCCCCCAGTCCCTATCACTCTGAGCTCTCACAAAACAGGAGACTTGTGGCTGGAAAGGAGGGGTCAGGAGGATATGAGATAGAGCCAAAGTTAACAGATGTTGCTGCGTGACATTCTACACTGATTTGTTGATCTTTCACACAGTTTCAATTTTCTACTGTATTCTATGGTGCTCACAAAAATTAGCAGCAGCAGCAAAAAGACAGCACTATGAGCTCCCCCAAAACAGCCTGGCTTCCCCTGTAGAAACTGAGCTTCACATCTGCAAAATGCAGGAACTCAGGAAAGTACTAGTATTGTTTTTGTAGACATTTTGTCTGCAACAGGAGATCGGAAGCTTTCCACGGTGTAATGCCACGTATAACCCTGTCTCCCACTGGTGATCATTTACTGAGCTTCACTTCCCTGGGGCCACTCATGCAAGCATCTACTCCCTCAAGTAGAAACTAAAGGCTCCTAACATGGGACACTGTGTTAAAATTAACTAAAGTGAAGAAAGAAAAAAAAAAAGTCAGTAGAAGGGGAAAGCTGTTAATTAAATTTGTGGTTGAGGACAGTGACCTTTCTGAATTTGGAGCATGGATATTTTTGTTTAGAGAGTTGCAGAAAATAGCTAAGAAAATTGAAGACGTAAGTCCTTGAGAAGTTCTATCATGGATCTAGGCTGATCTCTATGGGAATATCAGCAGCTCAGGTTTTCCATTGAAACAGCTCTGTGTGTGTGATGAGAACAAATAGTTCTGGCCTTTTTCTGCACTGCCCAGGAGCCTGGTGGGGCTGCTGCTAGCACTGTTATGGTGACAGTCTCCTGAAGGCGAAACATGGTGAATAAAGTTCTCAAGTCAGCCATGAGTCACTCCAACTTTCATAGTTAGCACACTGTTATTTCTGGGCCACAAACTATTGCTGCAACATTAAAAACAGGCAACCACACATTTTAAAAAAAAAAAAAAGTAGGAAAAGAAAGGTTAAAAATTCAGCTCTAATGCTACTTCATGATATTTTAAGATACAAATGCAGGGTCTTTTTATATTGCTAGACACTGGCAATTTACAAACAATTCTAATTCATGAAAATATTATACTTTGTAACTACATTTATATGGGCATGCTAGACCCATTGTAAGAGATTAATATTTAAATAAGACTTTTAGATTTAAATTTTTAACAATATTTGTGTGTCTAACTAAACTGAAAGGAAAGACATACCAGTATTTTACATGTATACACACTCATCTGGTGAGTGAAAAGTCTCAGACTTTCCAAATCCAGAGCAATGTCATTCCAGCCATAGAAAAGAAAATTCAGTTTCAGGCAAAGATCAAACCCATGATAAGTATTTTGGGAAATTACTTGTGTATGGAAAAAGGAAGCAGCTCATATTGCAGGAGCCACATCTCTGGAGGGCATCACCAGAACAGCTGCTCGCTGTTAGTGGAGTTGCCACTGGTGCATTCCTAACACTTTTTTAACGAGAGCGACTTCTGCCGATGTTGGCCAAGAGACACGGGAAGGCTCACGACAAATGGACCAGGCACATAACAAGCCTCTTTCTTATGCTGCTACAGATGCCCACCTCTGGGGAATCCTAGGAGGACAGGATGAAAATGTTTCGTCTTCCTTTCTTTATGGGGTTCCCAAGGTGCCAGAAGTCAGAAGGAATCACGACGGTCATTTACTGTCAGATGGTCAACCACTAACTACAAGGGAGCCATGCCTAACGGTGGGGAGGCTGACTGGTCAGCACGCCAGCTGTATGGTGGGCACTGGTGTATGTGTCACGGGGAAGCCACCGAGCCACGCCAGGATCTTTCTGCGAAGTGCACTATTGCAAAAACAACACACTGTGGTGGCCCAGAGAGCAGAAGCAGAGCTTCAGAAGAGGAGCAGCATATAGAAACTGTCCATCCTTGAACTGCTCTGACCTCATGTCCAGCACAGGCCAGGACATTTTGTGTTCCTGTACAAAGCCCAAGGACAGGCAGTTCAGCCAAAGCACCTTCTTTTGAAAGGTGTACAATTTAGACTTAAAGATTTCACATCATAAAAGTCCAGGCACATCCCCTAGGTATGTTGTTCCAATAGTTAATTATCTTTACCATTAAATATTGGCAGCTCATTTCTGGTTCATCAAGATCAGTTTCAAAGCGCTGGCTCTCTCCTACGTCTTTCTCACCTATATACTGGGCCAAGGTGCAAGCATTAGGAACCAGTACATACTTTTGCATGGCAAAACCGACTGCTTTGGTTTACGTCCAGCCAGCAGATCTGCACCTCAAGAAGACTGTGCAGCTGTATGACACAGCTCATTTGTTTTCATTTCCCAAAATCACAACTTTAGCTGATGGGCTTTGGCAACATAGATTACATTCCACCTAGCAACAGGGGGGGAAAAAAACCAAACCAAAAGAAAGAAAAAAAAACACAAAACCACACCACCAAAAAACCCCACACAACCTGCTGCTGTTCCTGCCCTGTAGCTGTCTGGCCTTTAGGTAAAGGCTTTTTCCTATAAACTGGATTTTAGTCTGCCTTGATTTTGGAAGGGGTTAGATGGAAGCATAAGAGTTACAATATACACTCCCACCTGAAAGGGGCTGAAGCCTGGTCAAGCCCTGCAACCACATCAGCTCTGTAGGTGGTTTGGATATGACCAGGCTGTACCTACACTGCTGACTCCTTGCAATGTGAGTACAGTGACATGGCCACACAGGCTCCTGAGCTCACGGGCTTCCAACTTGTTCAACCCCACACAGATTATACTGCGGTCACAACACAGGGTATGGCACAGATTGGTGCAAAAAGGCTGGGATCGAAAACAATGAAAATTTAGCAGTGAGAAGTTTTGCCTTTCCTCTTTTTCACTGATGTTGTGATAAGGTACATTTACAAAAAATCTCGCTGAAGTTAAAAGGCTCAGTTTGAGCAATATTACCTCAGTTAAAAGCCATATGACCAGCAGCATCTCAGTTTTATGTCCCTGTCCTGAGCAGTCCCTAGCCATTTCAAAAAAGACTGGTATAAAAGGGAAGATGTTGTGTAATTTCAGAGACATCGCAACAGACAATAACTGTTACTTAGGACTTACACAGCACTTTTACAGATCCAGAAACCATTTTACATCTATGAGGTAAGACTTTTAAATTTCCTGTATTCCACCTAGACAGCCAGCCTTACCTCTTTCCAGCATTAGGAGGCATTTATCAGCATGCTAAAACCAAAATGAAAGCAGCGGGTCCAAGATCCTGCTTTTGCATTGCTTTCTCCTGACAAACCTAAGATCTGACGTTGTGGTCATGGGTAAGTATTTCTAATTCCCCTTGGATGCTGTAATGTTTGTGTAAAAGAAGCTGACAGTATCCAAATGGGAGATAGAAAAAGGCTTCCAAGAACACAGACAACAGATTTTCCTGCCTCCTCTCCCTCCCACCCCTATCTTTGTGGCACAGAAGTTTTTTCTCTGGGATTATTTTAGGCACCCTAGCTGTCTATTACATTTTGGAATGTATGGAACCACAAAACACAATGCTAATTAGAAGGAAGGCATTTGCTTATCCTTATGACTTTGTTTATGTAAAAGACTGCACAGCAATGGATTTGTGAGCAACTGACTTTCCATTCATGTACTGTATGGTTTTAGATGAAAGACAAGATTAAATTGGGAGTGGGGGTTAAATAATGTCTTTGCATTACAAATAAAATTGACTGGCTGATTTACTTTTCACGATCCTAGATACAGTGTTTGAGGCATCTCTCAGTTTAAATAATAAGAAACAAAAGTAGTAGCCAATTTTTGTTTCAGACTGTGATATGATATGGCATTAAGAAAAAAAAAGCCATGGATTATATACAGAGAAGAGCTGCCCTTGCAGTGACAAGGAGTTTATTTTAAACAAAAAACAATGTCCTATCAGAGCATCAAAATTATAGTGCATTAGCACACCCTTCACACAGGGGCTTGGGGAGGGACTCTTGGCAAATGCCAGGTATATCAGTATTTGCCTGCTAGCAGAAAGAGGTTACTTTAGCACACAGAGTCCAGAAGTATCAGCTTAAGGTGCAGCGTTCACGCTTCTTCCCATCCTGTCGCCTCTCCCCTTCCCTGTCTCCAAAGTGACACTGCCTTCCTTCACCTCCTTCCCTCGGCAGCAAAAAGAACTAACAACTGACAGTCTTCGCAGAAATCTCTCAAGTGCCAAGGAGGAGGAGAAAGGAGACTGACACCAAAAATGTACTAGTAGGGGAAAGAGGAGGAACAGCTATGCCACAAAAACATCCCCAGGCAAGAGACAGAAGCCAGAGACTGGGGTCAGTAAAACTTGCCCAGACAAAGCATGTTTCTGTACTAGA